CCGGTGCCTGGTGTGCGAGGAGGAGGCGGACACCCCGCAACACGTCCTGCTGCGCTGCCCGTGCCTCTGCGGGGCCCGCCTCCTCGCCATGGGCAACATTCACGGACGCCCCACCGACCTGAGACGGGACGACGTGGTGGCGGCCTTGGCCGCCGGCTTTCGGTCCTTCCAGAGCCGAACGACTACGCCCCGGTGACGGGGCCGGGGGAAAACAACAAACAAACAAACAGGCGCTGGGCTGGAGGCCGGCCACCAGCGCACTCCGCTGCCGGGCCAACACTGTCTCCATGACTCCCAGCTGCCAGACCCGGCCGGCGGCTCGGCGACGCACTGCACCACGTAGTGCGTCACGACGCTGTTGCCGTCGTACCTGGGTGGACAGGCCACCAGCACGGATCGCGCCGATCGGAGGGCGGCTCCGGCCGCTCCGTCACTGTCACGTGCCGCGTGGTGCTGTCCTCGCCGTGACTGTTGCGTACGTGTAGGTACCGCCGTCGGCCCGTCGCGCCGCCGGCGCCGTCAGTGTCAGTTGGGAGGAGCCGTCCGCAGCCGTTACCTGCACAGTGACGTCTCCGTCCGCTGGGGTCACCGGAGCTCGGTCGGGGTCGCCAGCAGGTGGCTGCGCCGGTACCAGCTCAGCTGCAGCGGCCGGTCACCGGACGGCACCAGGCACCACCGAGACGGCTCTCTGACGCTGCTGGAAACGGGCCGGCACGGTAACGCTGTGCGGCGCGGCGCGCCGCAGCGGCTCGTCCACGCCTTTGTCGGCGCTGTAGCCGTACTCTCTGCCGCCGATCTCGGCGATCGTCGGCGGCGACAGGCAGCCGTCGGCGCCGCCCGACGGAGGGTGAGCCGCCCGTCGGCGGAGCCTCGGAGCGCGGCGACTGAACTGAAAGTCCAGTCCACGAAACAATGGGCGATGGCTGATCGGCCGCCAAACAGTTGAAGTCACGACGCTGCCGCCCAGTGCCACTTCCCTGTCCGCCATCTGGTGAAGCCAGCGCGGCGGCACTCTGACGCGGAGCTCGGCCGGGCGGCGCCGCAGCCTGGTCGGCTCGCACGCGCTGGAACACCAGGCTATTGTAGAACTCTGCGCCGACCGTCTCCAGGCGGTGGACGGCCAGCGAATGGTTGCCGCGCGGCCGCCAGCCGGCCGTTGGGCAGCACGCGGTGCGCCGCTGCCGCCACCGGCCAGCCAGCACGCCACCACACGTGTCCCGACAGCGAGTAGCCGCCGACACCGTACGTATGGAGTCCTCGGCCCTGCCGGCTGAGCTTTCCGCCACACCCTGGTAGAGTCCACCGTCCTCCCGGGACACCTGCTGAATCGTCAGCTGACTAGTGACGTCCTTAACTGCCTGTCCTGGACCTGGAACCTGCCGCCCAGCTGGTCGACGCTGACGCCGTCCCTCGTCCAGGTGACAGCCGGCGGCGGTGACGCGGTGGCCGCACAGGTGAATGTGACCGCAGTGTCGACCACCGGCTGCACCGTTTGCTGAACCAGCGACAACAGCAGCCGAGCCGGCAACGCTCCGATCCTGACCTGGGCGGTGGCGAGGTCATCGGTCACGTGACACTGGTACATGCCGGCCACGGAGCGGTTGCCGCCGGTCAGCTGCAGAGCCGGCCGGCTGGCGGCGGCGGGCAGACGGCGGCCGTCCTTGAACCAGACGATGTCGCCGGCTGCCAGGGGCGGCGTCACGTGACAGGTCAGCTGAGCGGGCTGGCTGGTGGTCACCAGCAGCTGACTGGGCTCGATGACAGCGCGGCGTGTCACTGTCACCTCCAGTCGCGTGTTCCGCGCCGCGCTGCCCACCTCCGAGCTCGTCGATCTCGGCATACGCCCGCGTCCCCTGACCTGACCCGGCGCACCACCAGCTGCTGGCCACTGACCTCGACATGACCAGAGTGAAGCAGCGGCGTCGGCTCAGCGCCGCGCACCTCGAGCCACTGGACTATCGGCGGATGGCCCGTGACGAGGCAGTAGAGCTCGACATCGACGCCCTCGGCGACTGTGACGACTCCCGTCTTTAAATGTACCGCCGTATCGGTGCGGTGGATTTATCAAGCCCGACTGAGGAAAGGCTGCTTGATTTGAGAGTAGCCGGACCAGGTGACCTGGGGATGGATAAAGGCTCACTTTGGTTCAGTGACTCAAATTTTAGCAGCCTTTCGTCGATCGGGCTTGATGGATCCACCGCACCGATGCGCGGTGCTTGGGATGTACAGTACATTAGCAGAAAGCGTGTAGATACTATTGAGCAGCCTGAACGCCCTAAAGAGACCCCCCACCTTCAAAAGTTAATGAATTGGCATACAAGTGCTGTTTAATGGATCAGAGTGATCAAAAAAGGAATGTCTACTGGTGTACATTAATTTCAATTGAAAGATATTCACCGTTTTCAGATATTACACTTTTTATTATTTCCCGTGGCCTACACTGTTCATTCGTAGTCATTGGAAAGCAGTTATTTGGTATTTTAAAAATGTGACCGATGTT